TGACCTGAGATGTAACAAATACATTGAGTCAACTGCTTCTTCCACCGCGAGGAAAGTTGGCTCTCTGTGCCGCGCCAGGAAATTTTTCTCCCCGGAATCGATACTTCAATTATACAAATCAACCATTCACTCTTGCATGGAGTATTGCTGCCATATATGGTCTGGGGCACCTTCTGTTTACCTCGGAGTCCTTGACAAGATCCAGAGACGGATATGTAATATAATTGGCCCTGATCTGGCGTCTCGTCTACAGTCACTCTCTCACAGACGCGCCGTCGCCTCTCTCTGTCTTTTCTATAAATACTTCCATGGTAATTGCTCCGATGAGCTGCTTTCACTGGTTCCCAGACTCCATGAATTCACGCGCCCTACGAGGCTGGCATCACGCTTTCACTCTTTCACTGTAGAAACTTTTAAATGTAGCCGTCTCTTCTACTCCAATAGTTTCATACCTCGCACCTCTCGCCTGTGGAACACACTTCTCAATTACTGTTTCCCTGAGAACTATAATCTCCAAATATCAATCGATATCTCCAGTTACCTTGATCTATCCACTATCCATCTCCTCATCCTTTCTTCTATCACTCCTATCTGCTCTCGCTCCAAATTTTCTGCAACCCCCTGCATCCTAGTGGCTTTACGCCTTGCTCCGGGCGTAATGCTTTAAAAAAAAAATTAAAAAGATATACGTATAAACATTCCGATCATCTATTATACGGTCGATCTTATGCGACATTATTAGAAATAAAGATCGATAGCTATAGTAAATTTACGTCCAAAAATATTTAAAATTCAATAAAACATTAGATTACGGAGAATATTTGCTTAAAATTTTAAGCTTGCTTAAAAACAACACGCAAAAAGCGCTCACCTTAATTCAATTACTTTTTTAACGCATAAGCCCGCATAGAACAACATTAGATAAATATCAATCTGTCATCAAGCCGTCAACCCCACGAACGCCTTAAATAAGCAGCTACTGTTAATTAAAAAAAACAAAGAAACAATTTACATTATTTTAAACTTAAAGCAAATAATATTTGTTTCAAATAAAATTAATTATACTTTAAATAAATAAATTTTAATTTTAATATTCATTAAATAAAGTTTCAGAAAAATATATCATAATTTCGGGAGATTTTTTTTTAATAATGAGTTATATATTGCATGAAAATGAGTTTAAAAAAAAGGCGAAAATCAGCTATTTTAGCAAAATAAATCTTAGTCCATTTACTTTAAATCAGTTTAAAATTGTTTTTGAAATACTGCAAAATGGTTTGCTTACAGGAAATATAAAATTTAATCTATTAGCTTGGAATTAAAACTAAAGTAAAAGCTATTAATCTATTAGCTTCGAATTAAAATTAAATAAAAGCTACAGTGTAACCCGGATATAAGACTGTTGTCGGGACCGGAGAAGAAGTCTCTTATATCCGGGTTTGGTCTATTTTATATACATTAACACAGGCTCTAATTTGGGACCAGAGAAAATCACTCTTATATCCGGGTTTCTCTTATATCCGGGTCTCTTATATTCGGGTTACGCTGTATTAATCTATTAACTTCGAAATAAAAGTAAAATAAAAGCTTCAAGATTTTTCATTTTTAAAAATTCATTTTAAATCTTACGTATCATGTTTTTTTTTTGTTGTTGTTTGGGGGAGGCACATAACTCTTTTATTTTTTCCGTTGTGCAACTTAAATAAAACAACTACTGTTTAGTACATTGGGTAACGTATATCAAATAAGAATCACTACAATTACCAGCTTTTGAAGAGACCCTGAATTTTCTCGTTGAATTTGTGATAAAATTGACTTGACTCATAATCTTACCAAACGAACTATGCTGTCCGCTTCTGTCACTATTTTTAGGAGTACAGCAAACAGAAACTCAAATTGAGTTTTTAGTGTGATCGTTGTATTCCTTAAAATTTACCTAATGTTTTTGTTTCGATTGAAAGAAACAGATGGGGGAAAAATAAAATGTGTTCCTAGCTGTTAGGTACCTCCACTAAAAAAAGAGCATAGCATTATGAAAAAGACGCAAAACTTGACGAAAACAAAATTTTATCGTCTAAAATAAATGTTTATGTTATTAGTAAGCGGAAAGATCAAAGTATTTTGGAGATATTTTTTTCCATTTTTTATTCGTTCCTAGCACGTCCGAAATTTTCGTTAAATATCTTGTTTTTTTTTCTAGTCAACAAAATTGATAATTTTTTTTCAATTTTATAAAAAAAACTGAAAATCTCACTTTGAAATTCTTTTAAATATCAATTATCATTTTTTCAAAACTTATTTTAAGAAAATCAGAAATTATAATGTTTATTTAAAATATTTTGAACCAAACTTAACTTAGCTTCTGCGCCAAAAAGATGTAATTTGAAAATAAAACAAAGCAGGTCATAAACTTTTGCGTCTCTTCACAGGTGATGAATGACATATTGACGCTTTCCGTGAGGCTAATTTGTTCGCCGGATGGAGAAAAGTGAAATAATTTACATTTAAGTGAACAAATTATTTACCTCGTTATTTTTAAGGAAAACTTTCAGCGCTCTAATATTTTTTGTACTTAGCTTTCACCTTTATGTTTAAGAAATTAAAATAATACTATTAAGAGTGAGATTAAATTTCATATTTCATAAGAAATGTATGTAATTAATTCATAGGTACCTTTCTTATGAAATTTTATCAGAAGTGTACATAAAATACTATAATTTCATGTATATTTATTAGATTTTACTGTGTTATTTGTATTTCTATTCATTTTATTATTAATTTTGATATTTCATTTATGGAAAAATGTCATAACTGAGATTAATATAAAAATAAGATCATATAAATTTCATAAGATGATACTGATACCTGTAGGTACCCTTCTCAGTTGAAATTGAAAAATCAAATTAATTTCTCCACACGTGTTTCTCAAAAATAAAGGCCTTAACAGCGGAGAAGAATGCTCAACTCAAATAACGCAAATTAATTGTATTCTGGTTGGTCTTCCGTACTTTATAATTACAGCCTGATTATAAACCCAAAATTACATTTCTTATCTAATGCGGATCTTCTGATTAATAAAATGATACAATTTACAACGCGCTAAAAAAAGAGCTATCTCATGAGGAGACTTAGAGAATCTGATGCAGCTTTTAACTAATTTTATAATATTTTAAAAGATTAAATGTAAAAATCTAGATTAAGAAATAACAAATAATTGTATTAAAAATTCATTTTTCATCGAAGATACTGTCCATATTCATAAAAACAACTAAAAGCAAATAAAAGCTTTTGAAATTAAATAATATCTTTGTTTTATTGAGTTTTGTATTCAGAGTTTTTCACGTAGGGGGGTCCAATTAAAAACAAAAAAACATGATTTGCATTCCTCAAAGCCTTGTGCTTTTAACTATTGTAATCATTAACTAGACTCGATTGAATTTCTAGCGTTTTCATAAAATTACTTATGGGGGGGTAATAAATATAAAAACAATATTTCTGGCATGACTTTAATAAAAATATATATTTATAATAATTTCGATCATCTGTGAATAGTTCCTGAATGTTACATTAACATCGGTTACGTGCCAGTAATTTAAAATAACTTGATGAGTTGCGTTGATACGCTTCGAAGCACGACCGCAATTATGTAGAGATTTTACATATTTTGGTGTAATATTCTAAAAAATTAATATATATATATATATATATATATATATATATATATATATATATATATAATTTTTTTCAACAGATACAGAAAAGTTACTTACATAAATAAAGGATTTTTATTCAAATAAACAATTATTAAATTACATGACCCGACAACTAACAAGGAAAGTAGTCGCTATACCTTTTCAATCGTCTTGAATTAATCTTGTTTGAAAGAGGATGGATGCCCATATACACAAGTGTATATATATATATATATATATATATATATATATATATATATATATATATATATATATATATTCGTCAAATATTCATTAAATAGACCGAGAAATAAATACTTGCAAATTTGTATAACAACTTAAAATTGTTTTCTAGACGGCCATTCTAAAACATCTATATATTCCCCTCCAGGCATAAGTTTATATATATAACTTCTGTCTGGAGGGTAAAATAGCTATAATCACCTTCCTAGACAGTGGCGGAGTTGACCAACGTGTTAGCCTACCCGAGAGCAACTGATTTCCTGATGAGGTGAGACTTTATATCAAATAAAAATCCAATAAAGAATCTACAACGGCCAACTGTTTTCGTAATAAAAAGGAAAAAGAAAAAAAACAACGAGTAGAGGACACAAATAAACATTGCATGAAAAGGAACGAAAATGGGAGAGGGGGTGGAAAGCTGTGGCTTAGGGTGGGGTTGCCCCGGGGGGGGGGGCATAATTACGGAAATTCCATGTTTTCTGCAAGAGTGTGTGAATTTGAAGTGTAAAGTTACAAATCGTAATTTGAGATTATCGGCGACTCCAATGGATATCTAGAAGAGGATTAGCAACATACTAGATGATCTAATAAAACTTATTTATTTGGTTTAGAATCGCACCGAGCAGGTCCTTCTTTCCGATAATCATTATTTCTTTCGCTTCTTTAGATCAACTTCTGTTGCATTAACGTTTAATGTTAAAATATTCTAAGCTTTAGTTAAGAATGGTGAAGCTTGGGATATTGCTTTGGATATCTGGAAGACATTTAAGCAGGTTTGGCATACTGGCCTTCTTAACTTGAATGGTTATATTCTTCGTGATAGTATTTTTGAACTGATTCCGTTTTTTTATCAAGTCGTGAAATCAAGGTTGTCTTGAATGGCCATTCTTCTAGATCTTTTTGCATAAATGCACGTGGTATCCAGAACGCTATCCTTGGACCTACATTGTTTCTAATTCTCATCAATGAATTTCCTGAGGGCCTCAGTTTTCAACTCGGTGTCTATACTGATGACACAACTATTGACATCTTTATTAATAGTAAGCCTGGCTTACGGCTCGATAACATTGAAATACCGGTTACGGTACGATCACTCTAGTTAAGCAACATTGGGCCTGGTCAGTACCTAGATAGGTAACCGCTGGGGAATAATAGGTGCTGCAAGCTTGGATGTGTGGAAGGTGTAATGGATAATGGTTCTGAATTGACACTATTTATATTATTCTTTATTTCGCTCACTGGGGTAGTCTGTTCTAGTTCCACGTGCCATGTCTAATCTATGTCATTTATCTGTTATCTCTTGTTAATTCCCCTCTCCAAGTTCTCCACTGCCTTCACCGGGTATTGAACTCACACTCTTTGGGTCCTGTCACTAAAGCTAACCAACGCCTTTATCCACTGTGCCATGTGTCCTTGAGGGTTCAGTTCAACATTCCAACCACCTGGAAAAGACCGGAGTGTACAACGTTGTAATAAATATGGCGACAAAGATGAGGACAATAGTCCGAATAATGTAAAAAGTGTACATAATACCTCATCTCAGAAATATAGACAGACTAGCAGCATGGCCCGGCGTTGCCCGTGCTTGATTCAAAAATCGTACGACTCATACAGCAATCGCTATCACTTGAATTAAAATATTTTTGCCCTTCCTTGCCTTTAAAGGAGTGCCTTTTGCCGTGCTGATGTTGCTACATGCCTTACTTCTTGCCTATCTCCCATTGCGAATTTTTTCTAAGCTCTATACTAAACATTAAATCTGTTACGAAAAAAGAACTAAACAAAATGAACACAAAACGATCAGCTTTAAAAAAGAACTCGTAACTGGAAAAACCGAATGAACAAAGAATGTTTTCAACAAATATATTTTCACACCCAACCCAGTTCTGCGGAATCAGAATCAACGTTGAGTTTAAGCAAGCAAATAAGCCAATTGGAGTAAAGTGCCATGCAAATTTTTCCCACATGTGGCAAATGCAGCTATAGTTTTTTTTGCATGCTAGTTAACATTCGTGTCAGTCAGCTGTTGGCTCTCACGCTCGCCAATAGAATCTTCCTGTCTATTCGTGGCAGCCAGGTATAGGCTCTCACTCTGGCCAGTAGAAAATGACCGCAAACTACATGAAAACTGTCGTAGAAGCATGAAAAAATCGATTATTTCCACTATCGATGGGAGTTGGCGAATGCAAGATCGGTCTTGGCCTTTCGGCTAACTTGGAGCATGTGCATGTAAATTTTGGTGTAAATCTGTCGAAAATTCCGGCCGTGCATTCGTTACACACACACACACACATCCTGTCTTTTATAGAGATACTGGTTCGACATTGTTAATCGAAGAGCCGAGTTCGAATTCCAGTTTGGTTCGTTATATTGACTTACGTTCAAATACCCTTGGGAAAGGTATGGATTCACCTTTAGTCATCCAGATTTCTGGTTTTAAAAACCTGCAAAAGTTTGATAAGCCGTAGACATGGAATCGACAAGAATAACAAGGGTGATCGTTTTGATGAGATCAAATTGGTAGCAAATCTTAAAAATTACCTACAATCTGTTGTCAACTGGGGCAAGGGATGGCTTGTTCATTTTACAGCTCCAAAACAAAACTACTTTCTTTTAATCGTTTGAGAAAATCTGATTTGCTTTCATTCACACTTGGAGGATAGAGACACATTGCGTTTTTCCCGGACGAACGTTTTCTACCGAAATAAAGTGGAACGATTTTAGTGAATCAATTGCAAAGTTTGCTGCTCCGAATTTTGATTCACGGTTTCGTGATAGAAATTCTTTCTCACCAGATTCAATCTTACATATTTATAAGCCTACCATTCTTCTTTGAATTGAATATTGCTCCCCCATCTAGCCTGGTTCTTCTGCTATATATTTAGAGATCCCTGATAAAGTACAATGAAGCTTCTGCAATGTTACTGACCCTTACCCCTCATTTCGGCTTCCCTTAAATTCCCACCGCCCTTAATGTAGTTTCCCTGTGCCTTTTCTATAAATACTTTCATGGATGATCTTTCCTCTGTCGTTCCTAGACTTTATGAATTTAAGCACAGCATTAGATGGGCAGCAAAATCTCATCAATTTAGAGTGTAAATGGCTAGATGCAACCGCATGCCACATTCAATACTAACAGTTTTTTTTCTGTCGTACTTCCTGTCTCTGGAACTCTCTGCTGGCTTCTAAACACCAAATCAAATTTGATCTCCAAAAATTAAAATGCGATGACAATTGCTATCTTTTTCTTCTTAAGTCCTGTTCTTTTATTGTTCTTTCTTCTTAATAGTGTTTTTCTCATATTCTCTAAAACTCAGTAATCCCCTTGCGTCTTGGTGGATTTATTGCCTTCATCGCGGTGAACTCATTAAAAAAATCAGTATTCTTGATTCACCAGTCTTCTCTGGTAGATGCGGGATGTGTTGTTTTTATTCCCCTCCGCCGACAGATTTGAAATATACATATGGGGACTATTTAGGATTTCATAGAGACATTGAGGTATTATGGCGGATACAGTAAGAAAGGAAGGAGATAATGTCTTGGTTTGGTGGTAGGACTATTGTTGGTATGTTTGGGTCAGTGTTTGCGACTAGCTAAGTTTAGAGATTAAGACAGAAGAAGACCTTCTTTTTGTCCCTGTGCCACATTTTGTAATATTGTACGAATAAATATTATTCTTGGTTCACCAGTCAAGGTTAAATGTTCACTTTCTGAGCAAAACCTGTTATCATACATTCGTTGAAGCGAATATTAAATCAATTGGAGACAATTACTGGCATATTCGTAGAATGAACAGAAATTCGTAGTGAACAGAAATGATTAATCTTAACATAGTGGAATGCATTCATTGTTCTATTGTGCTTTTGAACAATCTGTTAATGTAGAAATAGTACAGCAAACTATTTGAAAATATCAACCAATTACAACAAGTAAATATTCTATTATTCTGTATTGATATTTGATATCTACTGCAAATAATATGTTCAGTACATGTACACAGTAATTACGTAGACACACATCGAACAACAATCTGAAAATTAAATGATATTATTGTATTTTTGGGTCAGCCACCTTTGTTTCCTATAGGCGATCTTCCTTTGCTTCCATTAGTGGACCTAATTTTATTCCAGGGGTGAGCCACTTTTGGTTGCTATAAGTGAGCCTCCTTTTCCTGTGCCTCTTTGGGGGTGAGCCTGCTTTGAATCAGTAACTGAGCCTGCTTTGCTTCCAGTGGGTGACCTTCGTTTGCTTCCAGTGGGTAAGCCTCGTTTGCTTGCAGTGGGTGAGCCTCGTTTCTTCCAGTGGGTGAGCATCCTTTGCTTCCTATGGGTGAGCTTCGTCTCTTCCAGTGGGTGAGCATCCTTTGCTTCTTATGGGTGAGCCTCTTTTGCTTCCAGTGGGTGAGCCTCTTTTGCTTCCAGTTGGTGAGCCTCGTTTGCTTCCAGTGGGTGAGCCTCGTTTGCTTCCAGTGGGTGAGCATCCTTTGGTTCCAATGGGTGAGCCTCGTTTGCTTCCAGTGGGTGAGCATCCTTTGCTTCCAGAGAGTGAGTCTCGTTTGCTTCGTAAGGGGAAACCTCTTTTGTTTCCAGTAGGTGAGCCTCCTTTGCTTCTAGTGGATGAGCCTCCTTTGCTTCCTACGTAAAATTCAAAAACTAAAAATGAATAAATTGTATCACCAAGAAAAATTTAAATATAGGCTCTGTATACAACACAGATAATGTAACATATTTTAGACAAAGACAATACATCAAACTAACCAAATAAAATAACAACACCCACCAAAAAGAAAAAAAAAGAAAGAAAAATAGATATAGATGTAAAGTCTATGTAAACATTTTCTTTTCTCGCTCTTCTTACATGTGGAACTCCCTTCGGGCTTCATGCTTTGCTGCTAATTTTGATCTGTAAAAATTTCAATGCAATATTAGTCACTATCTAGTGCCCACCTGATTATATTTCTATTTCACGGTCATTATTAATGTTACTGTTGCTAATTCTTCCACAACCTGTAACCACATGTGTCTTAGTGACTTTATTGTCTTGCGTGGAGTGATACTGATTAAAAAAAATTAAAATCCATCAATAACCAACGAATGCGCGCATAAACACAAGTAAATTTAATGATAATTAAATCAATGACAAGTAATTAACGATAAATCATGAAGTAACAAGTAAACATAATAAAATAAACAGGAAGTACCTGACCTTGTTGCACAAATATCCAAGTGTCTAGCATATATAAATAGTCGAGCAGCCACACAACAGACACGCGCTGAGGGTTACATTTAAGAAACATACTGTATACCTAAATTTGGTACAAATTACATCATCTCCTATAAGTTATTATATTCGATTAATTCGTTTCCGATTAGTGTGTATCTTTAATCGACCGCACTAATCAAGGGATTAATGTATGTGTGCATGTGTGTGTGAATATATATATATATCTGTGTGTGTGCATGTTTGTATATATATATATATATATATATATATATATATATATATATATATATATATATATATATATAAAAGACAATAGAAATCTGTAATAGTTGCCAACGCGTTTCGTCCGCTGTGGACTTTTTCAAAGCAAAAACGAAATGAATATATGAAACAAAGTAACTAATAACAAAACAAAATGTCCTTAGCAACTGGAAGAATTTAGAGAACGCTAAATTCTCTAAATTCTTCCAGTTGTTTTGTTATTATTAGTTACATTGTTTAATAAATTCATTTCGTTTTTTTTGAAAAAGTCCAACTCGAACGAAACGCGTCGGCAATAACTACTGTTTTGTTATTGTCATTTATATATATACACTTATAAATATTGTCTTTTTCACAGGATAACCCTGAGAAATTTTCATATATATATATATATATATATATATATATATATATATATATATAGTAAAGGTTCACGCCTGGGAGCCACTCGAGGTAGATGGTTAGATTAAAGAGGACTTTTATGCGAATAGATGGGAAAGATAATGGTTAACCCAGATTAAGACTAATTATTGATCGGGAAAGCATCCCCTTGGGAGTCAGTACCACAGAGAAGTAGTTTGTGGGAAGAAGCTTTTTCTCACCGATGGAATACGAAGTAGATGTTTGCGTCTCTGTGAAGTTTCGAACTGGTGGAACCAAGGAATGTAGTTCGTCCTAGAA